GCATCTTTCAAACTTATAATTCTGGTCCTCATTTTTCTTCTATCTCTCAGAATTGCCTTTCTAAATTCCTTTTGTACCTCTCTTCACAGATGTCATGTTGGCACCTCAAACTTGGTAGATCCAAAACGGAACCCAATCTGCCCTCCCTCCCATTCTTAAGCCTGTTTTTCTTCTGTGTTCCCACATTAATGAATAGAAGCGCCATCCTCTTGGTTACAAAGGTAGAAACTTCAGAGTTTTTTTGAGGATGCCATCTCCCTTACCTTCAACTTCACTCAGCTTCAAGTCCTGTTGATGCTGTCTCTGAAATGTCCCTTGATTCTGCTCCATATTTTTCATTCTCCTTGCAACTGTCCTACTTCAAATTTTTATAATCTTTCAACTAGACCATTACAGAATGCTATTAAGTGATCTCTCTGCCACCAGTCTCATCCTTCTCCAACTCATTTTTTTTCATAATAATAGACTAAGTTCTCTGAGAGTAGGAATGTCTTTGTCACCTTTGTATTTCCCAGCACGAGCACTCAATATATATTTGTAGAACTGAACTCTCACTGCCAACGATTATCTTCCTAATCTAAAACACAAATCTGATCCTGTAAATTCACTGCTCCCAAATCTTCAGTGACTCTTGCTACAGAAAAAAAACAAACAAAAACTCAGCATGACATTCAGAGTCCTCTGTGGCCTGCTCTGAACCTACTGCTTTATCTGATCTCCTACCATATGTCTCCTGTCTACTTACCACTCCAGCCACACACACTATAACACTATATACTCTTTCTACTTATTCCTAGAATCCACTCTTTATTACCTACGTCTATTGTTTGAGATACCTGTTTTCTTTCTTTTTTCTTTTCCTTTTGGATTTTTTTACTTATTTTAGAGAGACAGAGTGTGAGAGTGAGTAGGGGGATTCTCTGCAGAGGGAGAGAATCCTTGAATCAGACTCCCCACTGAGCAGGGAGCCTGATGCTGGGATCAATCTTATGGCCCATGAGATCATGACATGAACTGAAACCAAGAGCAGGACGCTCAACAGACTGAGCCACTCAGGTAGCCCAGGGATATCTGTATTCTATCTCTGCCTATGGAAATCCTATTCAACTTTTAAGGTCAAACTAAAATTCCACCTCTTCAATAAAGTTTTCTCCAATTCTTCCCATAAGAAATAATTGTTCCCCACTCTATGTACTCTAGCACTTTGTACTTCTTTCTGGCACACAGTAAACTGCATCCTCCATTACATGTGGGGACACGAAAGTTTCCTCAGCAAGAATGAAGCAAACTCCTCAAGGTCATCACGAATCCCCCACTACATTTATGCCAGTGCATCACAATAGTAATAGCGTCCAAAGCGCAGAAGGGCCTCTGGGAAATCTCAGCAATGATAAAGTAGGGTGGCACAAAAACACCAAAATGACTGGCATTGTCTCTAACACCAGCTGGTATCATTAGGTGGGCAATACTTTTGTTAGGTTTCTGAAATTTTATCAGAATCATTGTTAGGGAGCAGTAATTTTTTTCTCACCCCTCTACTTCTGAGAGGAGACTATGAAAAGAATATCACCTTCCTTGTTAAAAGATTATCTTAGCTAACAGGAAAGATAAATTTTGTATGTGGCTTTTTATTGATGCATGTTTCTTTTTTTTAAGATTTACTTATTTATTTGAGAGAGAGAGCCCAAGAGTGGGGTCATGGCGGGGAGGGGCAGAGGGAGAAGGACAGAGAATCCCAAGCAACTCTGCACTGAGCACAGAGCCCTTTGTGGGGCTCTATCTCATGACCCTGAAATCATGACCTGAGCCGAAACCAAGAGTCCAGGGCTTAACTGACAGTGCCACCCAGGTGCCCCAATGCATGTTTCTTTTGATTTATTGTTAGCACTATATTTGTTCCTTTGAATTACTGGACTGTGTGCCACAGTGATCCTGAGTAGGATTAGCCTCCAGAGTGGGGCACTGTTAAAGACCCACTTATCTATCTTCTTATTTACTTTAATGCAAAAGATGCATATTGGGAATCAAGCAATTCAAAGCCCCGCTATTCAACAGGATATGTTAAGGGATGTTAAAGTTGTCATTCAAGTGCTACTAAGAGATGAAGAGAAATGAGAACTGATCACTGGATTCAGAAATCTGGAGCTCAGTGATAATCTTGATGAGTTTGGTTTTACTGAAATGATAGGAAAGAATGCCTGATTGGAGTGACTTCAAGACACAATGATGGCTTCCACAGAATGGTAAACCAGATTTTCTAAAAGAGCCTTTTTGCTACAAACCAAGTAAATCATGAATAATACATACTGTTTTTAAGAACTGCTGGGTTTGCAGGAACTAAGAAAAATATCCAAGCATCTCTACCACCACAACTGAAAATTAAAACAAAAAAACCCAGAGCTGAAACGTAAGTAGACAACACTGGGCAATACCAAATAAGAAGAGGAAATGGGATAAGTCGAATGCAAACAAATGCAGATACCATCATTAGTAAGACTAAGCCATGGGTCAGCTGCAAGACACAGCACCCAAGCCTCAAACCCTTACATTATCCAAATGCCTCAAAGGGACTTAAGTGGTCCCAGGTTGAGAGTACTCTGGGCTCTGAGCAGAAGCAAATGTCAATCTTTTCTGGAGAAAAGCATCCCAATTTAGGCCTGCAGTACTCCCACAAATGAAGATCAAACAAATATGAGCTTTAAATTAAATAAGATTAAATTAAAATTAAATTAAAAAATCACCAAACACATGAGCAAGAACCAACCAAAACAATAAACAATAGCTTTAGACTCTTTAAAGACTCAGATATTGAAACTAATAGTTAAAAACACAAGGGGAAAAATTGTATATGAAAAAAAAGACATAATAGACGAAAGCATAAAATAAGCAGGCAGTAAGAGCTAATAAAAATGACCAAGCAGATTGAAAAAATAACTAACATAACTTTTAGAAATTAAAAACATTATTGTTGATGTTAAAACTCAAATGGATGGGATAACAACATTTTAACAAAACTGGAGAGGACCAATAACTAGAAGACAGACATGAATAGATTATCTAGAATGCAGCACAGAAAAGTTAAGATGTATAATAGTAAAGAGATATAAGAGAAATGAAAGACAGAATGCAAAGATCAAACAATCCTCTATTCAAAGTCCAGAAGGAAAGAATGAGAGAATGGAGGAAAGGCAACACTGGAAGAAGTAATGACATAGAATATTCCAAAATTGACCAAAGACATCAGTCCACACGTACAGGAGACACAATGTCTACCACACAGGGTGAATGAAACACATCCACGCCAAACTATACTAGAGTGAAAACTGAAGAAGTGAAAACAAGGAGATAATCTAAGGCCAGTCAGAAAGAACATAGATGTTACCTAAAACTTGACAGCAAGCTTCTTAACAGAAAAATGGAAGCCAAGAAGAGAGGAAGGAAAATGTATTCAAAAAAGCACTGAAAAAAAATATTCAACATAGATTATTCATCTATTCATTCATTTATATTTATTGAGCAGCTACTCTGTCAGAACAGACAAAAATCACTGCCTTCATGGACCTTACATTGTAGTAGTAGGGACAGATAATAATTTAATTAAATATGTCAGATGATATGGAGAAAAATAAAGCAGAAAAGAAGATGGTAGCACTAAGGGAAGGGAGAGTTTGTAATTTTTAATATGGTGGTCTGGGAAGATATCACTGAAAAACTGATATTTAGACAAAGACCTGAGGATGTGGGGGTGGGGGGAGCTAAGTGATGGCTATGAAGAAAGCATTAGAGGAAGAAATGGCAAGTTGAAAGGCATGTGGCAGCTCAAAGGCATGTTTAAAGAACAGCAAGAATGCCAATGTGGCTACAGCAGTGGAAGTAAGTGAGAATGGTAGGAAACAAGGTTGGAGAGACAGCAGAGCTAGGGGAAGGATATCACATGGAACCTTCCAGATGACTGTTAGGACTTGGGCTTTCATTCTACATCAAATGGAAAGCTCTTAGAGAGTTTTGAATAGAGCCATCTCGTGATCTGATTTATATTTTGAAAGGATGGCTTGAGTCAAAATAGATTATAGGAAGGCAAGGGGAGAATCAGGAAAAACCAGCTGGGAAGCTATTGCAATAATCATAGCAAAAGAGCACGGTGCCACATACAAACGTAGTAGCAGTGCAAATGGTGAGAAGTGGTCAGATCTGAAGAAGTGTCAAAAAAGATTTGTTGTGGGGCGCCTGGGTGGCTCAGTCGTTAAGCGTCTGCCTTCGGCTCAGGTCATGATCCCAGGGTCCTGGGATCGAGCCCCTCATCGGGCTCTCTGTTCAGCGGGGAGCCTGCTTCTCCCTCTCCCACTCCGCCTGCTTGTGTTCCCTCTCTCACTGTCTCTCTCTGTCAAATAAATAAATAAAATCTTTAAAAAAAAAAAAAGATTTGTTGTGGTTTTGAAGTGGTTTATAACATAGAGGAGTTGTAGATGGACAACTGGAAGGATATAGTTGACATTTACTCTAAAAAACTGTGAACAGAGCAAGCTTGGAGGGAAGACCAGGAGCTCAGTTTGGAACGTGTTAAGTTTGAAATGTGTATTACTCACATGGAGATGTCAGAGGATACAGGAGTGTAGAATTTGTACGGTTTGGACTGGAGACATAAATTTGGGAGTCAGCAGTAAATAAATAGGGCCAAACAAAGACATTTTCAGATAAAGGGCATCTGAATTTACTGGCAATAGTCCTTCATTAAAAGAATTTCAGGAAGCAAGGAAATAATCCCTGAAGAAAACTCTGAGATTTAAGAAAGAATGGGAGGCGGCCGTTGCTGCGGGGGGTTGTGGGAGCCTCCGCGTCCCGCAAGCTAGGAGAGAGCTACCTCTCCTTTTCCCTCTCCCTTTCCTTAAGAGTTGTCTGCTGGTTCTCAGCTTGAAGAAGATTCTACAGTCCTTATTGATCCTTTTTCTTGGTGCTACCATTTTTTGAAGCAAAGTTAACCTAGTTTGTTAGTTTGAGCTTTCTTTTTGGCCTTCTTTAAAAAAAAAATTTTTTTTAAGTCTACAAACTAGACAAGAGATAGTTCTACAATGTCCAAGTCATTCCAGCAGTCATCTCTCGGTAGGGATTCGCAGGGTCATGGGCATGACCTGTCTGCAGCAGGAATAGGCCTTCTTGCGGCTGCTACCCAGTCTTTAAGTATGCCAGCATCTCTTGGAAGGATGAACCAGGGTACTGCACGCCTTGCTAGTTTAATGAATCTTGGAATGAGTTCTTCATTGAATCAACAAGGAGTTCATAGTGCACTGTCTTCTGCTAGTACTTCTTCCCATAATTTGCAGTCTATATTTAACAGTGGAAGTAGAGGTCCACTCCCTTTGTCTTCTCAACACCGTGGAGATGCAGACCAGGCCAGTAACATTTTGGCCAGCTTTGGTCTGTCTGCTAGAGACTTAGATGAACTGAGTCGTTATCCAGAGGACAAGATTACTCCTGAGAATTTGCCCCAAATCCTTCTACAGCTTAAAAGGAGGAGAACCGAAGAAGGCCCTACATTGAGTTATGGTAGAGATGGCAGATCTGCTACACGGGAACCACCATACAGAGTACCTAGGGATGATTGGGGGAAAAAAAGGCACTTTAGAAGAGATAGTTTTGATGATCGTGGTCCTAGTCTCAACCCAGTGCTTGATTATGACCATGGAAGTCGTTCTCAAGAATCTGGTTATTATGACAGAATGGATTATGAAGATGACAGATTAAGAGATGGAGAAAGGTGTAGGGATGATTCTTTTTTTGGTGAGACCTCGCATAACTATCATAAATTTGACAGTGAATATGAGAAAATGGGACGTGGTCCTGGCCCCTTACAAGAGAGATCTCTCTTTGAGAAAAAGAGGGGCGCTCCTCCAAGTAGCAATATTGAAGACTTCCATGGACTCTTACCGAAGGGTTATCCCCATCTGTGCTCTATATGTGATTTGCCAGTTCATTCTAATAAGGAGTGGAGTCAACATATCAATGGAGCAAGTCACAGTCGTCGATGCCAGCTTCTTCTTGAAATCTACCCAGAATGGAATCCTGACAATGATACAGGACACACAATGGGTGATCCATTCATGCTGCAGCAGTCTACAAACCCAGCACCAGGAATTCTGGGACCTCCACCTCCCTCATTTCATCTTGGGGGACCAGCAGTTGGACCAAGAGGAAATCTGGGTGCTGGAAATGGGAACCTGCAAGGACCAAGACACATGCAGAAAGGCAGAGTGGAAACAAGTAGAGTTGTTCACATCATGGATTTTCAGCGAGGGAAAAACTTGAGATATCAACTATTACAGCTGGTGGAACTGTTTGGAGTCATTTCAAATCATCTGATTCTAAATAAAATTAATGAGGCATTTATTGAAATGGCAACTACAGAGGATGCTCAAGCTGCAGTGGATTATTATACAACCACACCGGCATTAGTATTTGGCAAGCCAGTGAGAGTTCATTTATCACAGAAGTATAAAAGAATAAAGAAACCTGAGGGGAAGCCAGACCAGAAGTTTGATCAAAAGCAAGAGCTTGGACGTGTGATACATCTCAGCAATTTACCTCATTCTGGCTATTCTGACAGTGCAGTTCTCAAGCTTGCTGAGCCTTATGGAAAAATAAAAAATTATATACTGATGAGGATGAAAAGTCAGGCCTTTATTGAGATGGAGACCAGGGAAGATGCAATGGCAATGGTTGACCACTGTTTGAAAAAGGCCCTTTGGTTTCAGGGGAGATGTGTGAAAGTAGACTTGTCTGAAAAATATAAAAAATTGGTACTGAGGATTCCCAACAGAGGCATTGACTTACTGAAAAAAGATAAATCTCGGAAAAGATCTTATTCTCCAGATGGCAAAGAATCTCCAAGCGGTAAGAAATCCAAGACTGTTGGTTCCCAGAAGACTGAAAGTACAACTGAAGGTAAAGAACAAGAAGAGAAGTCAGGTGAAGATGGTGAAAAAGATACAAAGGATGACCAAGCTGAGCCAGAACCTAACATGCTTCTTGAATCTGAAGATGAGCTACTTGTAGATGAAGAAGCAGCAGCAGCACTGCTAGAAAGTGGCAGTTCAGTGGGAGATGAGACAGATCTTGCTAATTTAGGTGATGTGGCTTCTGATGGGAAAAAGGAACCTTCGGACAAAGCTGTGAAAAAAGATGGAAATGCCAGTGCTTCGGCAGCTGCAAAGAAAAAGCTAAAAAAGCGTCATTTCCCAGGGAGTATGGAAGGTTTTGTCACTCTAGATGAGGTTGGTGATGAGGAAGATTCGGAACTTCAGAAACTTCGTAAATCGGGCATGGCATTTAAATCTGGTGACAAAAATGATGGTTTGGTTGAAATTAAGGTGGACAAGATCGAGGAACTTGATCAGGAAAACGAAGCAGCGCTGGAAAATGGAATTAAAAATGAGCAAAATACAGAACCAGGCGCTGAACCTGCTGAGAACGCTGATGATCCCAACAAAGATACAAGTGAAAATGCAGATGGCCAAAGTGATGAAAACAAGGAAGACTATACAATCCCAGATGAGTATAGAATTGGACCATATCAGCCCAATGTTCCTGTTGACTATGTGATACCTAAAACAGGGTTTTACTGTAAGCTGTGTTCACTCTTTTATACAAATGAAGAAGTTGCAAAGAATACTCCTTGCAGCAGCCTTCCTCATTATCAGAAATTAAAGAAATTTCTGAATAAATTGGCAGAAGAACGCAGGCAGAAGAAGGAAGCTTAAGATGTGCAAGAAGCTTAACGATTTCAAAGAAAATAATGGTTCTTTGTTTTTAATGTTAACCTTTTTTAAATATAATACTAATAGAAGAAAACTATTGTACTCTTTTGTTTTAGTGGAAAAATAATAGATGTCTGTTCATGTGTTAAGTGTTACAGCAAAAATACATATACGGTTAAGTTAATGAAGAATTGTTTTTGTTTTATCAGAATGGTAACAGACCGAAGTACTTTGTATAGACTGACTCGCTACTTAAGACAACTTGCACCACTAAGAAAAAAGATGTAGAATCATTCAGACAAATGAAATTTAGTTCCAAGCTTCAAAGAAATGTCAAAACTTTTGATTCCATTCAATAAAGAACAAAACCAATTGTATTTTTATTACTTTCATCTGAAACATTCCACATTTTAACCTGAGCCTTGCAGACTTTTCATTTGGAGTTTGAAGCTTTTTGGGTTGCTTTTTATTTGGAGATCTTCATTAATATGAGATTGGCAATTAAAAAGCAGGTGCAGTTTTCTTTTAAAGTTATGCTGTTGCTTAGGTAATAAGAAATACTAAGTAATTGGCTTTAGATTTTTGTAATTTTTTCCCCTAAGTTCCTGCTAGATTTCGTATTCTAGTAGTCAATGTATTTTCAGTGAAATGTAAAAATATTCCCGTTCTCTTTGAGCAGTATTAATTTCTTGAGATCTTATTGCTTGTCACTTGAATCCTGTAACTGTCATACATCTGGTATAAGCAACATTTGATTTTTGAAGTGTGTAGACCATCTCTTCATATTTCAAGATGTAATTTTACATTTCTGCATTTTAAAAACAGTTTGGCCATAATCTAGACGCACGCTTCTAATTCATATACCTGCACATGTGACCTTTGTGAACAGAAATTTGCATGTATAATCTGTATTTACTTGTAACTTTCTGGTAATATACTGCTTATATCTGTGGGTTCAAGTTTCTGAAGTGAATACCAATAAAAAAAAACCTAGGCCATGTTCATTGGTTATACATGTTTGGAATGTTAACCAAAAAAAAAAAGAAAAGAAAGAATAGGAGGCAGTGATACTGGGAAATTTTGCTATAAACAAACATCATCAACATAAAATAATGATAATGATAATAATACGTAATCTCTGGGGTTCAAAATTTAAAATGGCAAAACTAAAATTCTGGACAATAGCATATATAACATAAGAAGATTAATTAGAGTACAAATGTAGGATCCTTGAATTGTTGAAGAGGGAATTAAGTTCTTAAATTATTTTAGATTAAGTGTCTGTGGTAACATTTCAAGGGTAAGTAGAAGGATAGAAATAGTATATAAGTTTCAAACCAGTAGAGCAAGTTTTCTCAAAGAAAGTGCAAATGGTATTTTGTATGAAACAATTGCTCCTGCGCAGAACTGTCCTGCCCATTTCAAGATACCCAGCATCCTCAAACTCTGCCTTCCAAATACTAGAAGCACCCAGTCCAGTCCCTGTGATGACAACAACAACAACAACAAGCACCTCCATATATTTAAATAAGAAAGGTGCTATATCAGCCTTACACAAAAACCACTGAAGTTCATGGAGAAAACAAGCAAATTAATTTAAAAGTTTAGCCACACACCAAAATAAAAGGGAAGAGAAAAAAAAGTGGAGGAAAAAGGAACAGATAAAGAGCACGAAGAAGGAAAAACAAGACTATATAATTAATCATGATAAATGTAATTGAACTAAGTTTGCCAGTTAGAGTGTTAATTGGATATTTTTTTATTATGCATTATACAATGACACTGTTTATAAGAGACATACCTAAAACTCAAGGACATAGAAAGATTGAAAATTTTAAGTTTTAATATTACCCAAAAGAAAGTTAGGTTAGTTATATAATTACATGTACTAGAAGATACATATATTATTAGATAATATATATATTAGAAGATTTCCATGTGCTTCAATTATTGCTTGGTCAAGCACACAAAAACCACAAAATAAGCTATATATGATTTGAACAACTCAGTTAATGAGTATGAAGGTATATATATAGATGTATATGTTATTTTTATTATATATACAATGCGTGTATACATTTGTACATGTACATATATATATGTGTGTGTATGTGTGTATACTCCTACACTTAACAATTGAAGAACACCTTCTTTTTACAATCATCACAATCCAGCTAATTTCTTTACTGAGTGATTATTATGTGCCCAGGATTTTTTTTTTTTTTTTAAGATTTTATTTATTCATTTGACAGAGAGAGAGAGAGCGAGAGCAGGAACACAAGCAGGGGGAGTGGGAGAGGGAGAAGCAGGCTTCCCGCCGAGCAGGGAGCCCGATGTGGGGACTCGATCCCAGGACCCTGAGATCATGACCTGAGCCGAAGGCAGACGCTTAACGACTGAGCCACCCAGGCACCCATGTGCCCAGGATTATTATAGGTACAAGTATAAATGAATTCATTCAATCTTCATAAAACTGCTATGAGAAAGGTCTACAAGTGCAAAACTGAGATCTGACCCTATATAATCTCATTCTAGTGTCTGTTTTTAACCATCACAAAACATTCTCCAATGAAACATTTTCAAAACATAATCACTTATAAAGCCATAATGCAAATTTCTACAAATTTAACAAATTGATCATAGAGTGGCTAAAGAAAAAAATTACTCACAGCAATTGTTCAAGAAAGTAAGGAAGACTTGTTTCAAGGCTACTGCAGTGGAGTTGTGCAGTAGGGGAGAGAGATTGGTTGGGCTCACTCCCTAACAAAGACCCTCTCCTTTACCAAGATCCTCTGAGCCCTCTTCTCCTACAGGCCCACACCTTGGGCTCTGCCCTTGGCCCACTTGGTCCAGTTTTAGCAAGAATGCTGCTGGGTCAATTTAGCAAGAATCCTCCACCTCTGATATCTGATCACCTTAGCCTGACTTCAGCAAGAATCCTGTCAAGTTGGTTTAGCAAGGATCCCCCTTACTTCTTAGTAATGCATCCACTGATCCCTGCCCTGCTCCTTGGCTATAAATTCCCACTTGTCCCTGTCTGTATTCAGAGTTGAGTCCAATCTCTGTCCCTTATTGCAAAAGCCCATTGCAGTTTGCCCCTTCTTGAATAAAGTCTTCCTGTCTTTAATTAAAGTTTTGAATAATTATTTTCTTTAACACAGTCCACATTCTCCTAATATAATGCAACTCAGAAGTTAACATATATCAGAAAAAAATAGTTTTAAATCTCCATAAGATTGGATATTTAAAGCATATGTGTATAATCCCACGTTTTAAATAACTCATGAATCAAAAAAATCATGATAAAAATTTTAAAACTTGGCTCTGATTAATAAAATTTGCATATTGAAAGTTGTGGGCATTATGAAAACAATACTTTGATGGAAACATTAAGTTTGCCATCTTCTGTAAATCAATAGCAGTCCAATCTTTGCAGTTTTCTATGGTTTAATCTAAATCTGTAGCCTTAAATGCTTAAATTAGAAAAGAAAAAAAGCTAAAAATTAATGGGTAAAGCCTCCTACTGAAAAAAATCAGAAAACAACAGAATAAACTCCAATAAAATAAAGTAAATAAAGATAAAATTTTAAATAAACAGAAAAAAAACTTGCCTCTGAAAAGGCTAGAAAATTTAAGAGAACTCTAGTTGATATGATCAAGAAAAAGGAAACACAAATAAATAATATTCAGTTTGAAAGCGATATATAATTACATATATAGAGTAGGCTTAAAAGATAATAAAATACGGGGCGCCTGGGTGGCTCAGTCGTTAAGCGTCTGCCTTCGGCTCAGGTCATGGTCCCAGGGTCCTGGGATCGAGCCCCGCATCGGGCTCCCTGCTCCGCGGGAAGCCTGCTTCTCCCTCTCCCCCTCCCCCTGCTTGTATCTCCTCTCTCGCTGTGTCTCTCTCTGTCAAATAAATAAATAAAATCTTTTAAAAAAAAAGATAATAAAATACTATGAACAATTCTAACTGATTTAATAGGAAGCTAGAAGAGTAACTATTAAGGCATTTAAATGACTAGTCAAAGATCTGTATTTTTAAAAAGACTCATTATTTTTTTTAAAGATTTTCTTTATTTTAGAGAGAGAGAGAGCATAAGTGGGGTGGTGGGGTAGGGCAGAGGGATAGAATTTCAAGCAAACTCTGCCCTGACGGCTGAGCCTAATGCGGGGCTCCATCCCAGGACCCTGAGATCATGACCTGAGCTCAAATCAAGAGACGCCCTTAACCGAGTGAGCCACCCAGGTGCCCCAAGACTCAGAGTATTTTACAGGCAATTTCTACCAAAGTTTTGAGGAACACATTTCAATATCCAAAAGTTTCCAAAGAACAAAATATAAGAAAATACTCCCAAACTCCATGTATGACCCAGCATAACCTAGTATAATCTTGATTCTAAAAGTACACAAGTCAATTTATAAAAGGAAAACTTTATTCTCTATCACACATATAGATACAAAAATTCCAAATTAAATATTTATAAAATAAATCTACAAATACAGAAAAAAGACTGTGACCAGGAGTGAAAGGATGGTTAAAAATAGAAAAATTTAGGAGTGCCTGAGTGGCTTAGTCGATTAAGCATCTGCCTTCAGCTCAGGTCATAATCCCGGGTCCTGAGATCGACCCCCACGTTGGGCTCCCTGCTCAGCACAGAGACTGATTCTCCCTCTGCCCTTCACCTCTGCTCATAGCTCACTCACTCTCTCTCAAATGAAAAAATAAAAAATCTTTAAAAAAAATAGAAAAATTCATAAATGAGATTTCTACAAAAAGCAATTAAAGGAGAAAATCATATGATCATCTGAATAGATTCTGAAAAAAGAATAAAAATAAACATGCATTTATAATTTTTTAAAATTTTAGCAAACAAGGAATAAAAGTTGATTTTCTTAATTCAATAATAGTTATCTACCAAAAAATCTACAGCAAACTCACCCTTAATGATAAAATCTTAGAAGCATTCCCTTTAAAATAAAGAACAGTGGTATCCATGATCATTGCTTATATTGAACACTTAACTGACATCCTAACCAGCAGAGCAAATATAAAAAGGAAATAAAGGCTTATGATTATTGGAAAAGAGAAAACAAAATTGTATATATTTGCAGATGATGATATTGTCTGTTTAGAAAACAAAAAGAATCCATAGATAAATGATTATAATCAATAAGAAAGTTTAGCATAGTAATTGAACCTGTGATCATTCTGTAAATATCAACTGCATTTCCACACACAAGTAACAGAAAATGCTAATTTAAAAAGATAACATTTATATAAGCAAAGATAAGACATTGGGAAGACCTAAGTTAATAAAAACATATGATGTTCATGGGGATAAAGAGACTCAATATCATAAAGATGGCAATTCTCGGGGCGCCTGGGTGG